CTTTAGGACATCTGATTTTGTGTCATTCAGTTATTTAGAAGTTGGACATGTTGATTATCACGTGCCAATGAAATATCCATTTGGAGTTGGTGGTTAGGCTATTGGTGATCAGAATAAGATCTTAAAGAAGAGGCTGAAGATATAATTTAGGAATTGGAGCAGGTTGAATAGTGTCTCTCAAAAAGTCATGTCAACTCAGAACCTCAGAATGGGACCTCATTTAGATATAGAGTATTTATAGATGTAATTGGTTAACATGAGGCCATACTGGAATAAGGTGGATCCTAAATGCAATAATTAATGTCCACTTAAGAAGAGGAGAGGATACATAAAGACCCAGAAGGAAGACAGCCATATGAAGACAGAGGCAGAAGCTGGAGTGGTACAGCCACAGGCCATGGAATGCCAAGGATTGCCAGCAACTACTTAATCCTAGAAGGGGCAAGGGAAGGATTTTTTCCTAGATCCTCAGAGGGAGCATGGCCCAGCCGGTACCTTAATTTCAAACTTCTAGCCTATAGAAATGTAAGAGAATACCTTTCTGTTGTTTTAAGCTACCAAGTGTGTGGCAATTTGTTATTGCTGTCCTAGGAAATTGATCTAGGAATTGTCAGTGTATGTTGAGGTGTAGGTAAGACTGCCTCAGGAAATCACAAAGCTAGAGCAAGGGTTGCACACTGGCTCTGATAGTGAGTGCCCACAGGCCCATTTTTGGCAATTTTGACAGTTGTATTATGCTCCAATTGTTCTTTAGATAGCAATAAGGCTGGGCAAATGTGATACTTGGTTACCATGAAAATTGATTAATACCTATTTTATTCTATCTAGCTGCTTCACACACTTATTTACCAACTGAAAGCATTTGAGTTTGCAAATCTTTCCTCAAAAAAGTATAAAGGGTGGGGTAGGATTAATCCTTATGAACATTTAATAGACAGAAAATAACAAACTATCAGGGGACATGAAGAGCAACAGGCCTCAAATAAAAGAGCATGGTATCATGGAACCAGAGGAAGAGAATGTTATAAGGAGGGAGCATCAAAACCTCCTGAAATTCACAGTAAGAAAAATACTCATTGGGTTTTATCTCATAGATGCTGGTGGTGATGGAAGCAAGAGCCATTGGAGTAATATGGTTAAATGTGTCTATTTTAGAAAGATAATGTTACTCTTAATGTAAAGGATGGACAAGACTAAAGGAAAGAGAAAAAGAGAATTGGTAAGTAGGTATTGCATTTACCTAGTCAAGAGCTAATGAAGACTGAAAATGAAAATAAGGTATAATTAAGAGGATATGTATAATGCTCAGCGTCACTCATCATCAGGGAAATACAAATCAAAACCACACTGAGATACCACCTCATGCCGGTCAGAGTGGCTAAAATGAACAAATCAGACTATAGATGCTGGCAAGGATATGGAGAAATGGGTGCCCTCCTACATTGTTGGTGGGAATGTAAACTGATGCAGCCCCTCTGGAAAACAGTGTGGAGGTTCCTCAAAAAATTAACAATAGAACTCCCCTATGACCCAGCAATAGCTCTGCTTGGAATTTACCCAAGGGATACAGAAGTGCTGATGCATAGGCACACGTGTACCCCAATGTTCATAGCAGCACTCTCAACAATAGCTAAAACATGGAAAGAGCCTAAGTGTCCATCAACGGACGAATGGATCAAGAAGATGTGGTTTATATATACAACGGAACACTACATGGCAATGAAAAAGAATGAAATCTGGCCATTTGTAGCAACATGGATGGAACTCGAGGGTGTTATGTTGAGTGAAATAAGTCAGGTAGAGAAGGACAGATACCATATGTTTTCACTCATAAGTGGAACAGGAGAAATTTAACAGAGGACCATGGGGGAGGAGAAAGGGAAAAAATAGTTGGGGAGAGGAAGGGAGGCAAACCATGAGAGACTCTTGAATGCTGAGAACAAACTGAGGGCTGATGGGGGTGGAGGAGAGAGGAAGGGGGGTGATGGGCATGGGAGAAGGCACTTGTTGGGATGAGCACTGGGTGTTATATGGAAACCAACCTGACAATAAACTAGGAAAGAAAAAAAGATTTAAAAACAAACAACAACAACAACAACAAAAGAGGATATGTATATAAAAACCAGGGGATTAAAGGAAAAAAATGGAAGATGTTTCTAAAGTTCAAACTTCTTTAATTAAGTAGATAGTAATATTAACATAAGAAGGAAGAATTAGTGGAATCTCTACTTTTATGCGATGAATGGATTTCTAAAGCCAACAAAGAAGAAATGGGATAGAAGAAAAAAATAATTCTATCGTCATCTATTCCAAAATTATCATTTAAAGATAACATAAAAGTAATCCTAGGGGAAACAACTGATAAGGGTGATTAAAGCTCAGTTTCACTAGATCTGAATATCTGAACACAGTTAAATATGAGATAAATATATAATGATAGAAACAGTGAACTCTGTGACTTTGATTCAGGACATAGAAGGGAGCCTCATTCTTTACTGCAGTCAGAATGAAGTTGGTGAAATAGGTTCCAAAGATAATATTGAACCTGTACATGAAAAGCTCCATTTGACTTTGAGATTTTCTTGCCTCTGTATCAGTTGTTTGCACTTTGTTAAAAACTGAGAACTGTGAGGCCACCATGACCTCAGTCACAGAGGAAACTGTGATGTAGATTCAGAAAACTTCAAGGAGATTCCACAACCATCAGGTGTCCAAAGGAGAGAGGCTCTAATGGGATTTCACATAACTCTGAGCCAAGGCTGGCAGTTCCTATAAACTGCCCTAGGATATTCGGTGTTTTGGCTAGGGTTTCAGGGAACCATATACATTGAGTAAGACTGCCCTTTGCCACCACAGTTAGGTAGGGTTGGAGAGGAAGCTCTCTTATACACAAAAATTACCCTTTTATAGGCCTTTGCTACGGGAGTAAAGAGCAGCTTTATGAGCCCTAAGGAGCACCACAACCTTTCTCTACCCTCATCACCTTTATTAGCACAAATCAATGAACATGCTTGAAATAAGACAATTTTTTACTAGCCTCCATTTTTCTGATGACAGCCCAATGTACTCAGAAGCCTTTTCTGCTGGCTTCCATGTTTGTGTCATCTAAAATTGAGAGGGATACCAGGAATCCTATGTATTCCTGGCTTCATCTTCCCTTTATTACTAGAATTCAATTGGGAATCCCAACACTCTGCATTCTTCTGAATAATACCCCCCCTTGTCTTCCCCCTACCACACACTGCCTTTCTAGAGACTGCCAGGACTAATCCCACCATGACTTTAATATCTTTTCCTGTCTACAGTGAACAAGAAGAGAATGGATGTGCGGGGGAGGAGTGAGTGACAGGGAAGACCCAACTCTTTTATTGCTTAGCGTTTTTCCTAACTATTCTGAATAAAATAGCACAAACTCATCTCTCTAGCCCCTTACCCTTTACAGTAAACTCTAGATATTTCTCTTTTTGGTTATAAGAAAAAAAAAACTTTACAGTTATTCTTTCATGTAGCAGTAATCACATCTCAGTAAAATTGTAAAGCCTTAAATAAAATTCAACTTGCTATTTCAGGTCATCTAGGAAATAGAGGAAGTAGTCCATGGATACCCAGGACCTGGATAGGTTTCAAGGTCTCCCCAAGTCCTGTGGATTTGTAATTGAAATTGTTTATATAGCTTGGTGGTTAAGAGCATGGCCTCTGGAGTCCCAATTGCCTAGGTTTAAATCCTACCTCACTATGTGTGAGATTTTTGCAACTTAGGCAATTTACTTAACCTGCATGTGCTTAGTTTCCTTAGCGGAACTATGAGGATAAGACTGTACCTACTTCATAGAATTGCTGTAGGGACTAAAGCTAGTTAATACATTTAAAGCACTTAGAATGGGGCCTCACAATATTAAGTTCTGTATAAACACTAGCATTATTATTATTTAGTATTCCCAGGAGACGGCCCATATCTTCCATCTGATTATCAATAAGGTCTATCATAAATCTTAATTTATGAACTGAAAAGAAACCACTTGCACAGGCTTATGATCTCCATGCAATTTAAACTTTCTCTATTTTAATCAAAAGTCATCTGATACTTCATAGCAGAGAAATATAGTTGAATCTACCTCAGAAATATATTCTTTTAAAGAGTTTTTATGTTTTCAAAGTTTTAATTCTATTTTTACTTTTTAACTTAATAGAAAATTATATTTTTCTTATTTTTCTTTAATTGTCACAGTCTTGATAAAATGTAAGCTCTTATTTTACAGGCTTCAATTTAAAAAAGAAACTCATTTCTTTTCCTTTTCAAAGATTAATAGATTTGCATTAAGGGTTTGAACATCAACAAATTGTGTACACAACTCTACGAGTTGGTCAAAAGATATGTGTGATTAAACTGTAAATGTTGATTTTTGTTGTTGTTACTTAAACCATATACGCAGTTGAGCCAAATTGAATCACAATTGAAAATATTGTGGCCTGTTAATATAATGAAGAAAGAAGAGCTTATACAGCTGTTCTCTTTCTGGAAAGTGAATATAGTGGCTGAAAAAATAATTGATACTTCATCATTGTTAGGGGTGAATTAATATTGTTCTGTAATAAATTGCCAAATGTCATTTAATAAATGACATTTTATTTTTTTAAAGTCAGGTCAGCAATAAATGGTCAGTATCTCATTACTTATTTCCTATAGTTACACTGAACACAAAGAGTACTTCCATTTTAAATTGCTTTTGCTAAATCTTAGAAAAAATAATTTTGGCAGATTGGTTAGTATCAGACCTAGAGCTTAAACACAACACAGCTGTTGTTGAAAATAACCACTTTCATAACATTAATATGCTTTCAATTAACAGATTGGAATGAACTGTTAAACATTACTACCTCCATGTTTAACTACTGTTTGACTCTCTCAATAACTGCTTTTCTTTCTCAATAGATTGTTTACTTTAACTGAAAGCAGAAGAATCATATTTAAATAATCTGTATTTTTCCTCCATCTGCAGAAAGTACCCAAGACAAATGGGGATTTCCAATGTGCCATTATTTAAAGGAAGAGAGATGGTGCTGTGGTCGTAATGCCAGAATGTCAGCATGTTTGGTATGATTATATTTTTTTCTGGACTAAGAGCTTTATCCAGATGTTACAGAATTTATTATTGTTGGCTAATATCATGAATTAAATGCCAAGTTTTGCAGAGCATCGTTATTAATGCTTTTGTGCATTGCAAATTTTAAGAAAAAAATGACTTGCCCTTCCAACATTATCTACTTTACATGAAGTGTGGTAACAATTCATAGTTATACTTTTTTACATATAATTTTTTATATATAATTACTTTAATTATCATATGAAATGTACCAACTACCAAGTATTAAACACTGAGTTAATTCAGTGCTTTATTCACAGTTCTGTGGTGTGTTTGTGTGTGTTTATAGTAGATCATTTGGTCTCCTAATTTTTTATAGAATAGGAAAAGTATTAATAAGTTACCTGGAATACGAAGTAACTATTTAATTAAATAAAACCTTTAATGTGCCTGATTTGGCTTGTGTCCTAGACATAGAACACTTTAACCTGTGGTATTCTCTGTTCATGGTGTTATGTTAGTTTATAAAGAATAGATGCACACGAAAGCATGTAAGTTATTTTTTGTCATTAGAAATGTCAAATATAATTGATTAAGTAATGCGTTTGATGACCAGCCTCAAGATACATTAATTATTCTATGACCATTATTTCTCTGCTAATTATACAGCAATATGAAAAATAGCACACCAGTGTTCTAGGTCACAGATCCTCAAATTATCATAGAAATCTATTTATGCTCAAATAATAATTTTTTTAAGTCCTCTTAAAATGCTTTTCTCGGAAATTATCTTGTTCTTTCATTATATCTGTTAGTAATGTTTGTTCAGGGTCGTGTGAGAGTGACAGGTAATTCTTAAAATGACTTAATTCTCAGAATGCAACAGGCAGGATTATACCCTCCAGGCAAGAAATTAAAATAGCCTTTTCTAGGGAATCTGATTCGCCTAAAACAGCAAACTCATTTTTTCACTAAATCTTTATGGTATGAGGGCAGGTAAAGTTAATCAGGGTTCAAAGAACAAGTTTTTACCTCCTGCTCACTGCTAACTAGCTATACAACTGTGACAACTTATTTTACCTTGCCAATGAACTTGTGCCTCTACAAAAATTGTACTTACATGGGATAATCTGTAAACTGTCTTTCAGTTTTAAAAGTATGTGATTCAGCTATATCTAACAGATACTATTTATGAAGAATAGCAATTTGAAGCAAATATGGGTATTCTAAAATTGAACAGGAAGTATATGGACATCTATTATATTTTACTACTTTATGTTTGAAATATTTTATAATTAAAATTTAAAGAATAAAGGTAAATATTGAAATATTTATATAATTCAGTTATAAAACTATATAAGTATAGAAATGTATGTCTTAAAAAATAAAAGTTTTAGAAGCCTCTATTCCATATTGAAATTATGATAAATCTTTCAGATGTATCTTTCATATATGTTAAATAATACATATTTAGTGGAAGTATTAGGAAATACTTTGTAAAATCATCTGAATCTTAAATAAATATAAATGTAAAACTAGCTATATATAAAGTTGTAAAAATATGTATTTTTTCTCTTCTGGGCACTTGATCATATGTGACTTTGATTTAAATTTGCAGACCAGGCTGACCAAAACTATACATAACTTTTCTAAACTGAATTTTCAAATAAAATCTGTTCAATATAACCTATATAATAAAAGCAAACACTATATGTTTATAAAAATTTAGAAGACAATACATTAAAAAGTAGTTTATAAACATGTTTATTATATACACATGTATAATAATAAATTTGGATTTATTTGATTGTTTCAGTTAAACAGCTAAAAGTGAACCAAGACCATGTTAGTTCATTTCTTTTGTTTTCTTATTCTTTCTAAAATTCAAGGAGTATATACAATTGGAGTGTGTAGTGTTTGTGCATATGACACACATCTATTATAAATCAATCCTAGATTACACAACTATACTTGTTAACATTCCTCAGTGATATTAACACTTTTAAATGTGTAAACTTACATGTTATCACGTAATTAATCTTTTTAAATATCACTTTTATAAGCCCTTATACAGTGTGTTTATAAGTCTTATAAGATAAGACTAAATATACCAGCAGTCGGTGTCTTACTTTTTTCTCCTTGTTTTTTTCTCCAAAGGCATTGGAACGGGTTGCAGTTGGCCAAGGGGTAAGTAAGAGTGTTTACTGTAATACAGCAGATGGACACGGTAGTTTTCTTAAGTTCTCTTCTTACTTGACCTCCTGATGAACTTAAAACCTGAACTTAAACCTTAGTATTCTTGTCACCTCTGCATATTCAAATTTATACATTTTCTCTAAGTTTTTCTTTAGAAGAGAACTCAACTTTCAGCAGAGTAAATAGAACTTTTAAGAAAACTTCTACATTATATTCTTGTACTAATGTCTCATTTCTTCGTAATATACTAAGCAGTCTATGAATATTTCTAAAGACTGCTATTGCTGACTGTCAGGCTCTTATGGGCTTAGTTCAAGCAAAGATAAGCAAGGTATAGCACTCAATTTATTTTTTAACTATAGTCCAACAACATATCTGCATTGATTTTGTTTTTTGACTTTTTTCCTTATTTACTTGATTAGTCACTAGTTGAAATAGCCAAATGGGTTTGCACATATAAACAGAAGTGAAATATATCCCCAAAATATCCATACAATTGTCTTATTCTCTATCTTATGATTGATGAAACATATTGGGAATTTCTAAAAGTTTTTTTAGGGGCACCTGAGTGGCTCAGTCAGTTAAGTGTCTGATTTCAGCTCAGGTCATGATCTCACGGTTTGTGGGTTCAAGCCCCGCGTCGGGCTCTGTGCTGACTGCCAGCTCAGAGCCTGGAGCCTGTTTCAGTCTGTGACTCCCTCTCTCTCTGACCCTCCCCTGCTCACGCTGTCTCTCCCTTTCTCTCCTAGGAATAAATAAAACATTAAAAAAAATTAAAAAAAAATTTTTTTTTAAACTAAAAGTTTTTTAGCTGTTTTTTTTAAGCTTTTCACAAGATTTATCTTGTTGGACCTAAATTTTAGAAATCTCTTTCTGCTTCTTTTCAAGGAACATTCATGTCAATATGAATTTTCTTAATAATAATAATTTTAAAATGATAATAATATCATTTACTAAGTACTTACTCTGGTCCAAGCTCAATGCTAAGAACATATTTTTCTTAAATGCATTTGTTGTACCTATTTGAAAATTGATAAAAGCTGATTTTTTAAAGGTATTAGGATATATTGTTGAGGTATATGGGCTTTTGTCTCAAACTGCTGGTTTGCGATTATACTACATATGAGCCCGTGGTTCCCTAGGATCTGGAAGAGGAAAGAGCCTTTATCATAATGCCCCTGTGCATTCTTGTGGTGTTTTTCAATTTCCGAAGTGCTTATTCATGTTTACAGTCGATCTTATAAGTTGGATATTATTGCAAATTTACATGAGAACATGATACACAGTAGAAATTTAACAGTGCATTCTAACTCCCTTAACTAATTGCAGAGTACTGACTTCCAGCTTAGTGCCCTCTCCACTGGACCTGTAAAATGCATGTCTAAGATATATACTTAAAACGTGTGCTTTTTGCTTCCTCCGATTTAAGATGCATTAACACATTAGGTTGATTTATCATTTGTGAAGGAAAGAAAGTAAACTCTGAGCCACATCCAGTTTATTCTTGGAATTGTCAGACGCAGGGTGCTGGGGATATGTTGACTCCCTTCCCGCACACCCCCATCTGTATTTACCAGAAAGGATAGGCCCAGTTATCCCAGGAATGCATGTTTGAAGGCACTACATAACTCTCTTGCCTTTCTCTCAGCAAACAGCTGTAAGGCTCTTATTTACTCGGGATAACTTAGGAATGATGATTTATTCTATCCTGTTTTTGTTTCTCTGTGCATTGCATTTCTGTATGATCTCTTGTTTAAATGCATTTCTTGGTGTTTTTTGGTTATCTTTAACCAGTTTTTAATAATAATACAAATATACATCCATTTCTAAATTCTCTTGATACCATTTATTTAATTTTTCTCAAAGGCATAGGAATGTAAAGCTTCATTTTTAAGAGTTTTTTTCCCCTGAGTGAAGTAAATAATAAAAACTATTTTTTTAATTATATATAAATAGATATAATAATTTATATATAATTAAATTTATATATCCCTGCCCAAGTGTCCAAGAGGACAAGTAGCATCATGGTTTGACATGTGGATATCAAAGCTAGGCTTCTTCAGCTCAAATACCAGCTCGACTATTTTTAGAAGTTTCATATAAAATTCACGTAAAATTAAAGTTCCTGTGTATTCGATAGCCAACTAAATAAAAGTTAAGAATTTTATAAACTATTTATAATTCTAATATTTTATTTCATATACTATTTCTCAGAATGCGTTAAATTTCAATAGAACAGTAGGTGTCAATAAAGACAGAGGATTCCAGCATTTTTGTGAGAGAACTGAAGGTATATTGGAAATGGAAGGGACAGATAATAGAGATTTTTGGTACTACAAAAAGAATTACTCAAGATGAAAAAATTCTAATTCAAAAATACATGCAGAAATGGCAAATTTTGAATGAAATGTTTTGGAGCAGTTTTCTAGAAAGAAAGTTTAGAAATCAGAGTTTGTCTTAAGTCAATGACATGCATTTAGATAGAGATTTTTATAAGAAGTATGCTTTTGAAGGTTACAAATTTCTTGTGAGTATTCAAGTATGTCTGCTTTCAGTGTATTATTTTAGGAGCTGAACTGGGGACTTTGATACTCCTAACACTATTTCAAAATAGAATCACCCTCCCCACTAACCCACCATCTAGAAAAGATATAACACATGCCCTTTCCAAGTATTCTGTCAAGATCCTGCAAGTCAGACATTCTCTGGTGACTTAAGAAGTCAGTGCCATTAGGTGAAGATGCAAGAAATAATGGTTGACCCTCAACTCCCAACTTGTGTTTTTTTGTAGCCTCAGCACCTTCGGCTCAGTGTAGGAACTTGAGGTCAGATGGGGAGAGGAGCAGTAGAGTTTTCTGCCTGAGCACACAGGCAAAATTTTATTTTATGCTAGACTCCATCTGAGTCCAAACATATTCTAGTTGAAAACAGACAAAAATAACAATTTTATGCTCTGAAGGAGAAGTGACAGAAATATAACTCAGGGAATTTGTACAGTCTACTGAACTCTTTAAAACTACTGGTCATTGCACAGTTTGGAGTTTTCACCTTATTAGCCTTCTCAGAATTGTTCAGTATTGTTGGCTTCCCTCCACTCTGGCTTTTCTCCCCCCCCCCCTTTTTTTCCCCATTAGTAACTTTGCATGGAACTTTGTTGCTGATAATATTTTGTATTGGATTTATTTATACTGTTAATATTAAGAGTTCTATGGGGATGTAGGCCGAGATTGGATGACTTTTGTAGTTTCTTAGTTTAAGTACCCCATCTGTTGTTTCAGTGAATTGTTTTCTTTTATACTTTTTCGAAACTATCATGTTTCCCTGGGGCCCTTCTCTTCAGCCATATCTTCTTTGCTTTGGAAAACCTTCACAGACACCTGACGCTATTTTCTTCCTGAAGGACAAAAGACATGCCCTCTTCAATTCTACAGCAGCCAATGCTATGATCTTTTGGACCTCAGACATATTTTTAGAATGTCCTTAGATAGAATAGTATCTTCTCTTTCCGGATGTGAATCCTAGGTGATACGATCTCTGTTCCACCACCATTAGGACAAATCCACGTTCTCTTCTCTTTTGCATGTATTCTACCTTTACTACTCTCTTACAGGATCCAGAGCCGATCTGGCTGATCACGAAAGTTTATTTCTGCATTTGTAACAGAATAGCACTGCCATTGGAACATTAGCGTATTTTTGTTTGATTATGCCTTTTCTTCCCCAATCCACTACCATTTCTTTTATAATTTCTTCTATTTTCATGTAGAATTGCTTTCTCAGTATTAGCCTCAGGGTAACAATTTAACTTAGAATGGAAAAATTATAAAAGTATTCTCTATGTTTTGTAATAAAGTCCAATTTCTAACATTCACTTATGTTCCTGACTCTCTAGTTTGATTCGATTTGTTTTTTATTTGTTTCTTGTGCTCATATATATCTACATTTTTTTCAGCTGTCTACTGAATCCCTCTTCTATCGAGCCGTCCTTCAGGATATTATTAAAGAATGTTATGGCATCACCAAATGGTATGAGGATTTTATTTTAATAGAGACAACTCTATTGTCTTATAAGTGAAGTGATTTTATTCAAGTGAATTTATTCAAGTTCACTGTTTTTTTTTAAAAGAAGCTTTGAATTTGAGCATGATGTCAGTAGTAACTAAGAAGTATGCAGAAACTGTATCTTAGATTAATCATTATTAAAGTGGGGGCTCTAATGTTTCCTTTCTGTCCTGAAACATTGGGTAATGATAAAACAGTATGTGTCAATTATAATTTAAAATTTTAGAAGTATTGAAATTTTATATATAAGTAATTCAGTGAATATAATGTTATCATATGAGTAAGAGTTACTTTTAAAATGTTTCACAACCAGTATAGCCTAAACACTTAACTAATAAGAACAGAAATTAATCATAAATAATTGTGGTCCTTGTGCTACTGGTAAAATAATAGTCCTGCTCATGTTTTTTTTTTTTTTGTTTTTTTTGTTTTTTTTCCCCCAAATAATGCATTTGAAAATGTTTGTACAGAGAGGCAGGGATGGGAGAATTTTTCTTTAATATTGGTTCAGTAACTGCTGTACTCAAGCATACATTTGCAATTCTGGCAAGTTTCATGCATATCCTTTTGCTAATTACAATGTTGGGATTCTGATAGCTATTTAGTTGTAATAGGATTATTCTTCAAATTAAAATAGGACAGTTTTAAAGTTCTCAAAAACAAATCCACACTTATTAACAGAGACAGAAACTATTTTTAGATTAGTTATTTTTCGGTAAGAAAGAAAATAACCTACTTTTTTTTTTTTTTTTACTGTTAGGCATTATGACATATAAATATCTACATATACCATTGGTTTAGGCTATCATGTCTGTGTAGCTAACTCCTAAATCTTATTGCAGATCCATTTTATTTTCCATATGTTTACCAATCTTCAAAATTGTCTATCAGCGAATTTCTCATGCTTTCCTGAAAACTAGCTTTGTCTCTTGAGTTCACCACAAGATACTGATTTTGTTGAAAAAAAATCACAGAAGTTTGCAAATTCATGTCCACTCAAATATTGACTGCCTGCTTCCTTTGAAACCTCAAATCTCTTTATAAATTATTTTTACTCTTCCAATGACAACTTAAAATTGTCTCCATTTTTTATGAATCTCTATTCTCACTTAAAAATTAAACACTGTCCAGCTCTCCACATTCCTGCCTTCTTTTACTACTCAGAAGATAGATGGTATTTATTATAAATGTTTTCATTCCAAAGTCTGACCATTTAGCCACATTTGACCATGTTGATAACTGGGTTTTTTTTCTCCAAAGTCTCTTCCTCCTTATCTTCCATTAAGTTACATTCTGAGTTCTTTTTTTCCTTTTCCTACTCTGCACAGTCATCTACTTACTTAAAGCATTTTTCCTCTTAATTCATCTCCTACATATATCTTCAGTCTCTAAGATTTTTATACTCAGCTCCTGTCTCTTAATATTTCCTCTTTCTCTTAAGAATTACTCTCAGAACTAATATCTTGAATCAAGTATCCACTCCTAACTCTTTCACTTACGTACCTTACAGATATATCAAATTCAGCATATCCAAAAAACAGTCAACTTCCCACTAATTCTAGTCAAGGAAGGTGCAAATAAATGGAAAGATACTCTGTGTTCATAGATTAGAAGAACTAGTAGTGTTAAAATCTAAATATTACCAAAAGCCCATCGGGATTCAGTACAATCCCTATCAAAATCACAGTAGCTTTCTATTTTTTAACAGTAGAAAAAACATTCCTAAGATTTATATGGAAACACAAAAGACTCGGAGTAGCCAAAGAATTCCTGAGGAGAACAAACCGGGAGAGATCACACTTCCTGATTTCAAGCTGTAGTCACCAAAACAGGATGGCACTACATAAAAACAGACAGACCAATGTAACAGAATTGAAAGCCCAGAAATAAACAGAAGCATATACAGTTGGCTAATATTTGACAAGGGAGCCAAAAATACCTAATGGAGAAAAGACAATCTCTTTAATGAATGGTGCTGGGATTTTGGATATTCATGGGTGCTGGACCCGTATCTGATACCACTCGCAAAAATTAACTCAAAATGGGTTAAAGACTTTAGTGTAAAACCTGAAGCCATGAAACTTCTGGAATAAAACATAGGTATAAAACTCTTTGACATGGGTCTTGGTAATTACTTTTTGTATGTGACATCTCAAGAATAAACAACGAAATTAAAATATGCAAATGAGACTACATCAAACTTAAAAACTTCCACACAGCAAAGGAAATCATCTACAAAGTAAAAAAAAAAAAAAAAAAAAAAAAAAAAAAAAAAAAAAAAAAAAAAAAAAAAAAAAAAAAAAAACAGAAAACAAAAACAAAAACAAAAAAAACTAAAACTAAAAACCTTACAGACTGGGAAAATATATTTCCAAGCCATATATCTGATAAGAGATCACTATCCAAAATATATAAAGAACTCCTACAACTTGATAACAAAAAAAAATGTTTTAATGGGCAAAGAGCTTGATGAAAGGCCAACAAGTACATGAACAAGTACATGAAAAGATGCTCAACGTCACTTATCATTAGGGAAATGTAAATTCAAACCACAATGAGAGTACCTCACACCTGTTAGAATGGCCAGGTGAACTACCAGATGATCCAGCAATTTCACTTTTGGCAGTATATCTGAAGGAAGTGAATATACTAAATCAAAAAGATATCTGCAGCCCCATGTTCATAGGATTGTTATTTATCATAGCCAAGATATAGAGACAATTGAGGTATCCTTTGGTGGATGAAAGGATAATGGAATGTTATTCAGGCATTAAAAAATGAGGAAATCCTACTATTTGCAACCACATTGGTGGACCTTAAAGACATTTTGCTAAGTGAAATAAGTCTGATGGAGAATGACAAATACTATATGATCTCACTTATATGTGAAATATCAAAAACAACACCAAAAATAAAAAACACCAAACTCATAGAAAGAGATGAGACCTATGGTTACCAGGGGCAGAGGGTAGGGGGATGGGGAATTGGAGGAAAGTGGCAAAAAGGTACAAACTTTCAACTGTAAGATAAATAAGTAGTAAGGCTGTTGTACAACACAATGACAATAGCTAACATACTATATAATGTATAGAAGTTGTTGAGAGTAAATCCTAAGAGTTTCCATCCTAAGAGGGTTTTTCCCGTTTTTTTTTCTTTTTTTAAAATATATCTATATAAGAAGGTAGTCATGTTAGCTAAACCTATTTTGATAATTATATCATAATATATGTAAATCAAACCATCATACTATACACTTTATACTTGTATGCCAATTATTTGCAATAAAACTAGAAAAAAAAAGATAAGTTATGTATTTATGTGGTACTTGAATGTCACTATTTCTCATGAAATTAGTTTATTCATACTTGAAGTGAATCGTTTTCTAAGACACTTGGAAAAAAATCAGGCATCCTTTGTTGATGTCAAATTTAGAGGTTAAAGTATTTCTTGTTAATGCAGAAAAATGAGGAAGGAGAAGAAGAACAAGAGCAAGAACTACTACAGGGCAAATACCTAAGAGAAGACAGGAATCAAGAGAAATAAGCCCAGTGTCTTCTAGGGCTGCATTTCACCAGAGCATCTGTATAGAATAGGCAACTATCTGACAGTTAACAAAGTAGACAGAGAGGGTGAGCACAGCTTTCAATAAAGTAACAGTTCTAGTGAAACAAAGGTTAAAGTTCATGGCCTGCCCTAGGAGGACTCCATAAGCCAGGAACACCACTCTTACCTTGAGTTAGATCTACTCCGTGAGTGAGGGTGAGCCATAAATCAAACAGTCCTTAAATGATCTAAAGCCCCACTTAGAATTATCTGAAGCTGTGATTAAAGTATTTCTGAGTATTTTTCTAGCTGCCTACTATTGGCAAATCCTCTTTGGACGAAAATAATATATATGCAGGCTCAAACTATCACTAAAGTTTCCTGTATATAGTATCTGGCAAGCAATCCCAAATAATCAGCCATAAGATGAAATAGGACGACGTGACCAAAAACCAAGGTAAACCAACCACATGCACCAGAAATGGACTCATTGAAATTTAGAGAAAAGCTTAAAATAACAACTTGAGAAACTTCTACTTTGGGAAAATGGAGCAGTTGAACTTTTTTATATTTTTCTTGGTAATTACAGTTAAAAATCTAGAAATATCTATAAAATATAAGAAGATTCAAAGGATCTTGGAGAAAATAAGGCAAACTAGCTCAAGATCTCAGGACCCAAGGAACAACATGGTGGGAGTTCCCTGGGCTTTCTTATTGCCTTAAAAACCTTGCATTGGAAATGAAGAAAAAAAAAAAAAAAAAAAAAAAATGGGCACATACCAAAAAAAAAAAAAAAAAAAAAAAAAAAAAAGCCCCTAGTAAAATATCTCTTTATAACTAATGGAACAGGAAAGAAGGAGGCATAGGACAACTTTTAGACAAACCACCCATATTGCAGTCAGAAACCACATAAAAAATTGTGATCCTACTCTCACCTATGTCAACAAAGGCCAAGTGGAGAGCCCAGACTTCCATCCTTGCCAGGCTGTAATGAGGTTCCTGAACACCCCTTGTGGTGTCAGAGAATGGTGTTAGAGAAGGCCAAGTATGAACCTAGGATTTCCTTCCCGTCAGGTAGTAACAAGCACCCCACCACTGCAGCCACAATGCCAGAGACCATGTGGGAATTTGGACATCCTGCAGTAAAATGGGATTACAGTCTCTCCCCACCAGTATGGCATCAGAGAAGGCCTAATAGAGAGTCAGGATTTTCATCATTGCCCAGCAGTTAAAAGGCCATCCCTACCACAGTATCAGATGTAGAAGAAGATGTAGAGAAGATGTAGGAAGCTGGAAGTCCTAGTACTAACAAAGTCTCAACAGAGGCTAGTTTATCTTCACACAAAACTTGTAAATGAATGTTTATGGCAGCTTTATTCATAACATCCCAAACTGAACCAGATGTCCTTCAACAGGTAAAC